GGTGTCTCCACCCCAGAGTGTCCCAGTCTGTCCGTCTGTCCTCGCCCAGGCCTCGCCCCACCCCGGCTCCCGGGGCTGCCTTGCCGCCCCCCTCCCCCGACCGCATCCCCCACATCCCTCCGGGCCAGTCCCCGCCGCAGCCGGGGAAGCAAGCCGGGACCACGCCGCCCCAAACCCAGGGCCCGCACCCCGACATCGGTGGCCTGCACCCCAAGATTGGATCCAGAGATCTGGAAACCTGAGCCTGAGACCCTTATCTGGGGCTGGGACCCCAAGACCTGGAGCCCGAACACCTAGTATCTGGGGCTGGAATCTCAACATCAGTCTCTGGAACCCCAAGACTTGGAATATGGACCCCCAAATTTGGAGCCCGAACCTCAAGATTTCGCATCTAAAGCCCCAAATCTGGAACTGAACTCTGAACGCTGTGCCTGGGACCTTGAAATCTGGGACCAGATTCTCATATCTATACTCTGGAACCCACTATTTGGGACCCAAACCCTGAGATTTAGGCCTCAAATTCCAAGATCTGAACCCCGGCATTCCAAGGGGCCTAAACCTGAGTTTGAGCCTGAAGTCCTTGCTGCAAACCCGAATGCTGAAATTGAGGGCTAGAGACCTCCAAATCTTGATTCGGCACCCCAATATCTGAACCCAGCACCCCAGTATCGGATCCCAGGACTGGGCTTGAGACTCAGACCCTAAACTCTCCATTTGGCTGTTTAGCATCCCAAGACCAGAACTAGGAGACACTGGCTCTGACCAACCCAAACTGGAGCCTGGGTCTCTAAAATTGGCCCCTAGAGGCCTTATATTTAGAGATCTAGGACCCTAAGTATCAAGGTCTAGAGACTCCATGGCCACAGATCTGGGCTGAGATACAGCACAGTCCCTCTACAGAGGCCTTGGGGACAGAGAAGGCATGACCAGGCCCCCCCTCCAGAGCCCTGACCCCTGACCCCTTGGAGCCTGAGGACTCTGCTCCCTGGGGCGGCTTCCAGCTCAGGTAAGGCTCTTGGGGGACCCCCATGGTGGGGAGGGACCTGGGAGGAACTTTGTGCCTGGGGGTGGAGGTAAGTGAGGACTAGGTCCCCCTGGGCACCTTGGGGTTTT